CTCACGAAGAGCTTCAAGAAAGACCATGAGAACTGGTGGGCAATAATAGCTAGTGAAATGGAAGTAGCGGCTGCATCAGGGAATAGTCAAAAACTGTTCCGACTGATACGCAACATGGGAGGTCGGAGAACTCCAGTTAGTGAAACAGTCTGCGATAAGAAGGGACAAGCTATTCACAGTAGGGATCAACGACCTGATCGCTGGGCAGAATACTTTGGCAAACAGTTCAGTTGGCCTAGTGCTAACCAGGCTGCTTAATCTACAACTGAAGCTCCGTGGGTAGTGTCATGCGATCCTCCAGCAGAAGCAGAAGTTCGGACTTGCAATCAAGCTCTGAGGCGAGGAAAGGCAGCAGGACCGGATGAGCTCCCTTCCACTCTTTTCAGGATGGGGGGGGGTGGTAACCTCGTAAGCTCTATTACTACCTTAAGACTCAGTTGACTGCGAAGCTCTGATGGGCTCCCTTCTTCGAAAAGGAATGCCCCAGAAGTATGTTAACCTACTGAGGTCACTGTACTCACATACCTCCAGTGGTGTAAGGGTCTACAGCGAACTAAGTAGGCCGTTCGTCACCAGCAGCGGCGTTCGTCAAGGGTGCCCTTTCTCGCCGTTCCTGTTCAATTTCGTCGTAGACGAAATACTGGAGAGCACACTAAGAGGACTCCAAAACGTAAGTATTGAATGGACAACTGGAGAAAAGATGTGCGATTTAGAGTACGCCGATGATATCGTCTGTCTGTTCGAATGTATGGAGGACGCGCAAAGTGCACCTGATAGAGTAACAAGTGCAGTGGCCACATTCGGTATGTGCTCTGGACCTTCAAAGTGCAAAGTGATACTGCAGGACTGGGTTTCGTCTACTCCAGCTTTGAAACTAAATGGCCAGGATTTAGTTATGGTGGATTACTTTTCCTACATAGATATTTGCGTGACCAATGACGGTAGTGCAGCAAAAGAGATAACCGCCCGCATTTCCAAGGTTCGAGCAGCGTACGCAGGATTGAAACACCTTTGGCGTAGATGCGACGTTTCACTGAAATTGAAAGGTCGTGTGCCACCGTTCATTCAGTTCTGTTTTATGGTTGTGAGACCTTGAATTTGCGAGTAGAAGATATCCGTCGACTAGCAGTTTTCCATTATCGGTGTTTACGCAGTTTAGCCCACGTTGGATGGAGCGA